AGCACTTCTACCAGCTCCCTCAGTACCCTTGGGTGGATCCCATCCGGCCCCATAGACTTGTGTATGTCTAGGTGGTGTAGCAGGTCGCTAACCATTTCCCCTTGGATTATGGGGGCTTCATTCTGCTCCCCATCTTGGTCTTCCATCTTAGGGGGCTGGGTACCCCGAGAATAACTGGTCTTACTATTAAAGACCAAGGCAAAGAAGGCATTAAGTACCTCAGCCTTATCCTCACCCTTTGTCACTATGTTTCCCCCCACATCCAGTAAAGGATGGAGATTCTTCTTAGCCCTCCTTTTGTTGTTAATGCATTTGTAGAAACGTTTTTTTTACTGTCTTTTACTGCAGTAACCAAATTAAGTTCTAGTTGGGCTTTGGCCCTTCTAATTTTCTCCCTGCATAACCTCACAAAATCTTTGTAGTCCTCCTGAGTTGCCTGCCCCTTCTTCCAAAGCTCATAAACTCTTCTTTTTCCTGAGTGCCAGCCAAAGCTCTCTGTTCAGCCAGGCCGGTCTTCTTCCCTGCCAGCTTATCTTTCAGCACATAGGGATGGCCCGCTCTTGCACCTTTAGGATTTCCTTCTTGAAGAATGTCCAGACTTCCTGGTCTCCTTTGCCCTTCAGGACTGCCTTGCAAGGGACTCTGTCAACCATTCTCCTAAACAAGCCAAAGTCTGCCCTCCAGAAGTACAAGGTAGCAGTTCTGCTGAGCCCCCTTCCTTACTTCTCCGAGAATCGAAAACTCTATCATTTTGTGATCGCTATGCCCAAGATGGCCTCTAACCATCACATGAGCCACAAGTCCTTCTCTGTTTGCAGAGAGGTCCAGTGGGGCGCCTTCCCTAGTTGGCTCACTCACCAGCTGTGTCATGAAGTTACCTTTCACGCACTCCAGGAACTTCCTAGGCAGTGTATTTTTTGCATTTATTAGGCCTTTCGCTTATGATATGTGCTGAGACATGCCTGCAAGTACCTTTAATGCAGAGTTGTTCCTTACAGAACAGCTTAAGGTGGTAGGACTCTGTCCAATGCATTGTTCATTAAATCTTTCTAAACTTAAGCACTAAAGTATGTTTAATTCACTGCAAGTGGTACAATAAAAAATTCCCTGAACATTGCTATCAAAAGTGGGATTCCTGCACCACTGCTGCACCTGCAGAAGTGGCCAGACTGGAACCAGAGATGCAACAATTCTCCCAACCTGCAAAGCTACTCAGCCACCAGTGACCTCACAAGCACCTGCACAAGCCAGGTGCCTGCTCCTGCCCCATCAGCTACTCTGGCACCAGTGAGCTTACAAGAAACAGCATAAGCCATGGGCTTGCTCTTCCTTATCATCTACTCAGCCACCAGTGAACTCACAGGCACCTACAAAAGCTGAATGCCTGCTCCTGCTCTAACAGCTACTCAGCCATCAGTGAGCTCATAAGCATGACACAAGCCAGGGGCCTGCTCCTGCCCTGTTAGCTCCTCACCCACCAGTGACATCATAAGTAGTAGCACAAGCCAGGTTCTGTTCCTGCCCTATGAGCTACTCAGCCACAAGTGACATCACAATCACCTGCACAAGCCAGTCCCCAGGTCCTTGGTCACCACCAGTCTCATGCTGATAGGATCACTGCTATGTACAAGGCTTCCTGAGACCTGCCATTGCAGTGTCATTGAGAAAAATACTGTGCAGGGTCCCCAAACCATCTTGTCTGGCAGGGATGGGAGAGCTTCTGTGTACGAGGGCTCTGAAACCTGCTGGTGCACCCATGATGGAAACAAATGCTGCTAAGGGCATGCATCCCCAAGCCCCTCTGGTGCACTGTGTCTGGGCACACTGCTGTGAGCCAGTGTCCCCAGTGCTACCCCAGAGATAGGAATATTGCTTTGTGTGAGGGTTTCAGTCTCCTGGGGATGGAGCCACTGCTCCATGGAGCTCCACCAGTGCTCTGGTTGAGCACACAGCTGTGTGCCTGCATCCTAGCGCCTTGCTGGTATACTGTCAGTGGGAATGCTGCTGCTCGAGTGGAGCACCACTGCTAAGCACGGTGCTATGGGCACATGTCCTTGATCCCCACTGCTCTCCTGGCTGATTGGCACGCTGCTGTGTACAAGGGTCCCTGAACACTGCTGCCACTCTTGGGCTGGGAAAGATGCTGTATGTAAGGGCCCTAGAGACTCACTGCTACTCCTGAGCTAAGCATGGCCTCCAGACATGTGGAGGGTACAACCCCAGCCCTGCCACAGTGACTGTCCCTGCAGGAGGGCCCAGAGGTTCCCTGGGTGCTTCATAGCTCCTCTCTCTGGTTTGTATGTGTGGCATGCTGGGGTGCTGCTGCGACTCCATCACAGCCTGACTCCATACGTCAGACCTTTGACTGTGGCAGGGGCTGCAGTAAAAGGTTCAAAGAAGCACTGTGGTCTTGGGAGAGAATTTAAAGTCTCCAGTGTATTTTTTTCATCATGTGGCAGCAGGAGAGGTGAATTCCTGGGACATCCTTTTGGAAGCACTGGAGAACCTTGTGCTGGGCATTTTCAAGAAGCTTAAGTTTAAATTATCACATATTGATTATGAAAGCACACGCAACCTGTCCAGAGGTTTGCTTGAAGAAGCCAGTGATGCAGTCAAGATTGCTGAGCACACGTGCAAACACTAGGGACCAGATGTTGCTGATATTGCCTGCCAGGTTGAGGAATTGAATGGACCTTCTCTTGCTGTTGCTCTGCTCACCTGTTTCAGGGACTGTTGTCATGGTTCCTCCAGGTCCCCTGGGATGTCCCACGTGGTGCCTACAGTGCTTGTCCTCAATGGCCGGAGAACCCCTCGATCAGGCAGAGTGGGCTGGCCTCCTTGTCCTGCTCAGCAAAGGAAAGCATCCCCATGCAGAAGCAGGGACTCCTTGGGAAGGGAGGGCCTCCCTGCAATCCAAAGGCAGTGCAGTGCATGTCTGCTGCCTTCAGCCCTGCCTGGCAGAGGACGGTGGGGCATGGGATGGAGGCAACTCGTGGAGAGTGGCCCCGCAGGTGGATGTCACAGCCTCACGGGCCCTGGCTTGGGGACCCCCAGTGCTGAGAGCCACGGCCACCCCTGAGCCCCAGGCATCATGGGGTGATGCTGTGGCAGGAGGGTGACATCGGGCAGGGGATGGGCCAGAAAGGGGCCTTTGGATCTGGCAGCTGATGGGCTCTGCCTGGGAGGATGGTCCTGGCGAGGACTGGGACAGGAAACCCCCTTGGATCATCCAGGTCCCCCTGGGTTCTGGGGTGGCTGAGGGCTCCATCTGGAGGGTTGGGGGGACTGGGGGAAGCCTTAGGGGGTGCTTGGCATGGGGGCTGCGGTTTGGATGGAGCTGGGGGCCGCTGGAAGGGATCCCGGGGGGGTCTGGGGCAGCCTTGTGGCGTCCCCGCAGGCCGGGGCTGGTACAAGGCAGCCATCCCCCCCATCCCCAGCCATGCTCACCCCACATCAGCCTGGCGCCCAGTGATGCTAATAGCAGCATGGATCACTGCTGTTGAATGGGTGGTGGCATGGTCAATGGCAGTATGGGGAGGGTGAGGGCACGGGCACCATGAGGGCCGTCTCCCCAGGTGGGTCAGCTGGGCTGCTGTGCCTGGCGGTGAGGAGGGCCAGGTTCAGGGATCTGCCTGGCGCCTGGTGATGTCAGGTGCAGTATGGGTTGCCATTGGCAGGGCACTTGGGTGCGGCAACGTCCCTGGGACCCCATCTCGGCCTTGAGCCATAGGGTAGGGGCACGGGGATGTGTGGGGAGGAGGAAGGGGCCCATGGGGACAGAGGAGGGACAGGTGGGGCCCAGGAAGGGGAACAGGGAACCGGCAGTTTGGGATGAAAAAGGGGGCCAGTGCCAGGGCTGGGGATGTGTGGGGAGAGGGAGGGACATTGGGAGCAGGGGAAGGGGACAAGGATGGGGTATGGACACAGTGGGAAGGGGGATGAGGAGGGGTGCGAGGGCGAGTGCCTGGGTGGGCAGGTAATGGGGAGCCCCTTGCCCATGGGGCCACACAGGAGGATGAGAAGATTGGGCTGGGGCACCCTTGCCTGTGGCCACAAGCGTTGAAGGTATTCAGGTGGGAGCAAGGCCATCACCCTGGCTGCAGGTGGGGTCCCCCATGGCCACAGCAGCACCTTGACACCTGCGGTGGTGTAGGTGTCTGAACCCCTCTTTTCTACCCCCAGTGCAGGTGGGTGTGCTGCCTGGCCCTGATGGGAATAGCCTTTGCCACCACTTGTGCCCAGAGCACCCAGCCCTGAGTGGCACAGTCATCTCTGTCCCCTCTGTGCTGCTGCCCCCAGCAATGAAGTGGGCGGGTTTGCCCCAGTGTGGCTGAATTTCCCATGGGGGAGGGAAACCCCATTCCCACAGCCGGCCACATGCCTGGGCTCCCCATGCCCCCAAGCTATGTGCTCGCCCCATGCCTGTTTGTCACCATCCCCTGGTCCCAGGGACCGGGTACTGGTGCAGAGGTGCTGATGTGCCCCTAGAAGGGTGGGTGAGGGGAAATTGGTCCTCCCTCTCACTGCTGCATCGCTGCCCCAGCCTGCTTTGGCACTGGCCGAGTCCTGAGTGTTACTTTGTGGAGAGCCCAGTGCTCCCCAGGACTAGGGCCTGGGCCAGGGACACCCTGCTGGTGTTGGGGAGCTGTCCTGGTGTTTCACCCTGGGATGAGGAGTGTAGGCATGCCCCTGCACTGCATCAGGGCTCTTCCCATCTGTCCTGGGGTGGGCAGGAGCCACCTGATGCCACGTGCTTGTGGGCGTTGGGCATGACACACCAGGAGTTCCCACATGTGTGTGGGGTGTTAATTAGTGGTTTATTATCAGGGAGATGCAGGGGGCCAGTGTGGCCCTGGGGCGTCCCTGGCGTGGTGTGTCCCATGCTCTCAGCTCCTGCAGGAGAGGAGGAGGTGAGTGAGGCTGGACAAGGGCAGGCAGTCCTGGCCAGGCAGCTCCCACCCGCCATGGGCTGGTGCAGCTGGGTGAGGAGGAGACCTCACCTGCGTCTGTAGCACCAGATGGCACCAGCAAGGGCTGCAGCCACGGTCAGCAGCACTGCGATGGTGATGCCGCCACCGAGAGCTACCTTGGAACTGCCTGGAGAAGAGAGAGGGGTTGCAGGCGCACAGGAGGCCATGGCCGGGGCTGCCATTGGAACCTGGCCCACCATCCTCCGGGCACCTGCGTGGGGCCAGAGGCCTCTGCCCGCACCCTGTGCCCCATCCCCATGGGTGGCACCTACCCCATGGGATGAGGAGGCTGCGGGTGCCCAGGCTGCGGTGGCGCACGCGGCAAGCGTAGCTGTGCCCGTCATGGGGGGCCACGGCCAGGATGCTGCGGAGCTGGTAGGTGAGGTCGGCGTTGGGCAGGATGGCGCTGGTGTTGAGCGCTGGGCCTGGCGGCACCTCCTGGCCATCCTGCAGCCAGGCCACGCTGATGGGCCGTGGGTAGAAGCCAGTGACGCGGCAAACCAGCAGGAGCTGGTCTGGTTTGGGCATGCGGGAGAAGACCGTGGCAACAGGTGGCTCTGGGGGGGTGAAAGCAAGGGGGTGAGGGGAGCCCTGGTGGGGCACCGCTTGGCCCCAGTGTGTGTGGGGCTTTGAGGTGGCCATGCCAGGGTCAGGGTGGTCTCACCTAGTCTCTCCAGAGATGCCTTCCCGTATTCGATGAATTTCTTCATGTGGTCAACACAGGTGACATTGAGAAGGTGCTGCAGGGTCACAGAGAAGCCGGTGAAGTTGTTGAACTGCCTCTCAACTTGTGCAGCCAGTGCACTCTCCTCTCGCCTCTCCCAGTGGCTGTTGTCCACATCGAAGCTGAGGAAGTTGTGGGCGTTGTAGGCAAGATGGTAGAATTTGGTATAGGAGCCATTGGGATACAAGTCACAGCCAGTCGCGCACTGGAGTACAAAGGGGTCTGCAGGGGAACAATGGGCATCACAAGTGCAGCTCGAGCTGGAGCCCAAAATTGCAGCCTGGCACCTGCTTCTTTGGGGACATCCCTTTCCCCCTTCCCTCTGCACCCCAATTCATTCTCCCCAGGGAGAAAACACGAAAGGCCAAAGCTCAATTATGGTTGGAACTGGCCAGTGTTGTGTCAGACAACAAGAAAGCCTTTTTAAAGTATGTTAATAGCAAGAGGAGATCTAAAGAAAACATTGGACTGATCCTTGTTGAAGATGGTCACCTGACTAATAGGGATGAAGAAAAAGTGGAGGTATTCAATGCTTTTTTTGCCTCAGTCTTTAATAATACTGATAGGCCTTGGGCTGCCCAGTCTTGTGAGTCAGAGGACCACGACTGCAGGAACCATGGCTTTCCATTTGTGGACACTGAAATTGTAAGGGACCACCTTTATCAGCTTAATGTTCAGAAGTCCATGGGGCCTGATGCGATTCATCCTAGAGTATTGAAGGAGCTAGCGGATGTTATGGCAAGACACCTCTCGATCATCTACCAAAGGTCTTGGGAGTCTGGAGAGGTCCCTGCTGACTGCAAGCTAGTCAATGTTATTCCAATTTACAAGAAGCATGTGAGGGAAGAACCAGGAAACTACAGACCTGTTAGTCTAACCTCAGTACCTGGAAAAAATATAGGCAAGATCATGCTGGGTGCTACTGAAAGGCATTTAAAGGACAATGCAATCAGGCACAGTCAACATGTTCACAAAGGGTAAGTCCTGTAACTAATTTGATACCCTTCTACAATAAGGTCATCCACCTAGTGAGTGAGGGGAAGGTGGTGGATGTAATTTTTCTGGATTTTAGTAACGCTTTTGATACCGTCCTTCACAGCATCTTTCTGGCCAAGTTGTCCAACTTGTGGGGTGAGTGGGTTCACTGTGCACTGGGTGAAGAACTGGCTGAATGGCAGGGCTCAAAGGGTTGTAGTGAATGGGGCTACATCTGGCTGGCATCTGGTCACCAGTGGTTTTCCTCAGTGGCTCAATCCTAGGGCCAGCGCTGTTCAATATTTTGATCAATGATCTGGATGCAGGAGTTGAATGCACCATTAGCAAGTTTGCTGATGATACCAAACTAGGAGGTGCTGTTGACTCTCTTGAGGGACAAGAGGCCTTGTAGAAGGATCTGGATATATTGGAGCATTTGGCAACCATCAATGGCATGAAATTTAACAAGAACAAATGCCAGATTCTGCACCTGGGATGGAGTAACACTGGACACAAGTATAAATTGAGAGAGGAGTGGCTGGAGAGCAGCCCTGCAGAAAGGTATCTGGGGTGCTGGCCGACAGCAGGCTTACTAGGAGCCAGCAGTGTGCCCTGGCAGCCAAAAAGGCAAACTGCATCCTGGGGTGCATCAAACACAGTATAACCAGGCGGTCAAGAGAGGGAATTGTCCCACTGTATTCAGCGTTGGTGCGGCTTCACCTGGAGTACTGTGTGCAGTTCTGGGCCCCACAGTTTAAGAAGGATGTGAAGGTACTTGAATGTGTCCAGAGGAGGGCAACAAAGCTGGTGAAAGGGCTGGAAGGCATGTCCTATGAGGAGAAGCTGAGGACTCTGGGTTTGTCTAGTTTGGAGAAAAGGAGGCTGAGGGGCGACCTCATTGCTCTCTACAGCTTTCTGAGGAGGGGAAGTGGAGAGGAAAGTGCTGATCTCTTCTCCCTAGGATCCAGTGATAGGACGCATGGGAATGGTTCAAAGCTGCATCAGGGTAGTTTCAGACATGACATTAGGAAATTGTTCGTTACAGAGGTGGTTGATACCCCAAGCCCTTAATAATATGCGTTAACTTTTGGTCAATCCTGAAGTGGTCAGGCAGTTGGGCTAGATGATTGTTGTAGGTCCCTTCCAACTATTCTATTCTATTCTATTCTATTCTATTCTATTCTATTCTATTCTATTCTATTCTATTCTATTCTATTCTATTCTATTCTATTCTATTCTCCCATGTCAGTGCTCTGCTTTATGCCAGGTGGAAACTCTGCAGGTGAGAAACCTGTCCTGAGCCCTGTAGCTCATTGTCCTTGAGCTGCCCCTGCCCAGAGCAGGGTGGGAGCCATGGCAAAGCAGGAAGCACTGCTTTGGGGAAGTGATGGGACATGGGGTGTGTGCAAGTAGGAGGACAGTGGAAACTCTGCTTGGCGCCCTGCCCTTGGGTCACCAGTGCTGCACCAGTGTGTGGGGCTAGGTCCTTGCTCCATGTGTCCTGTCCCACAGACATGAGCAGAGAGGCCCCTTTGACTTTCTACTCCACTTTCTCAGATGACTTCTCTGGTGGGATTTGTGGTGCCTGTAGAGCAATAGGGGGGGCTGGTGTGAGGGCGTAAGTGGAGCTAAATGCGGCCAAGGTTTGTGCTGGGGACCAGGATGGCCCCATGTGACCACCACAGAGGACAGGGTGGTTTGGGGGTCTTGCTGGTGCAAGATGAGGCCCATTCCCTTCTCTCCTGCCAGCTCCAGTCTGGGAAAGCTGTTGGTGGTGGCTCTGAGCTCCTTCTCACAGCTCTCTGCCTTGGGAGAGGAGGTGCTGAGCACCTGGTACTCACAGGGTGTCTGGTACAGCTCGGCATCACCGGCTAGGGACAGAACGAAGTTGTGCATGTAGATCCTGAATAGGTTTTTCAGGTTTTCCCACTCTGCTACAGGCAGGGCTGGGTAGACCCATGGGTGGAGGTAGAGGATGTTCTGGGTGTATTTCTGCAAGGAAGCAAAGATGATGTCCTCCAGGGTGGCCCAGGCTGAAATGTCCACAAAGCTGGCATTGTGGAAGATGAAGGTTTGGAAAAGGTGGAGTTTACAAGAGCCTGTGGGGAGAGGTGGGAGAGGAAGTGGCATTGGGGTGCATGAGGATGAAAGAGGAGGTCATGGGGCTGCCAGCTCCAGTGCTGGTGGGTGGCCCTGGGAGGAAGGGTGGCTTGCAGTGTCCCCAGGGACAGGCAGGGTGAGATGGGGCAGCTAGGCAGGGTGGGGAAAAACCCCCGGGTTCTCTCAGTTTGCAGTTTTCTTCCATGGCCTCTCTGAGCCTCTCCCTGCTTCTCCTCTAATTCCCTTTTTTTAGCCATCCACCACCCCAATGTGACCTTCTGGGAGCTGTCACTTAGCCGTGTGGAGGGAATGGCGGGGGGACCTCAGTGCTGGCTTGGGGCAACGCTTCCCCCAGCAAGGAACAACTGTGACAAGACCCAGATCCACTGGAAACCTGCACACCATGCCGGGGCTGGGTGGGGTGTGTGGGACTGAGAGGGAGGAGGACTTCTCCCCAGTTTAGGGGCTCTCGGACAGTGCTCGAGACCAAATCCTAACAGGAGACAGGAGACCGAGTTTGATGCTGCAGCGCTGAATGGGGCTCTGGTAGTAAGCAGGGCAGAGTGAAGCCTGTTTTGGAGCAGTGAGTGCCCCCCTGGCGAGGGTGTGGTGGGCGCCTGCCCCCGGAATGGGAAATACAGGCTGGGGATGCAGATGAAGGCTTATAGCTGCAGGAGGAACCTTCAAGTGTTGTTTCACAGAGGAGAATGCAGAGGATCTCGGGGCCCTTCGATTGCAAGAGAAATGATCCTGCAGGCCGAGGGGAGTGCCCAGGACATCCTCAAGGGGTTGGAGCCCGGTGCAGGGCTGTTGTGCCATAAGGGGCTGAGAACCCCTGCTGCCCGCAGGCTTCCTGCAGGAGGAAGGTGTCTTTGAGGGCAGCCCAGGACCCCAGGCCTGGCTTAGGAACCCCTTGCCCCTTGGCTGCTCAGGAATCTGAGCCCCAACACCAGTGGTGCTGGGCTGGGCAGGGTGGTGTGGGGCAGGGAACCCTGAGCAGGTAGGCAGGGATGGGGCACCTTTGGGTGCTGTGGGGTGGGGGGTGGCCCCTTGGTGAGGGTGACAGTGGCCTGCCTGTGCCCACCCCCTGCCACCTCTGTGGGGTCCCGCAGTGCAGGGATGGGAGCAGGTAGGGTTGAGCCAAGGCTCCCACTTACCCTCTGGATCCGCCCACGTCCCAGGGAGGAGGAGGAGAAGGAAGAAGAGGAGGCGAGGGTGCTGCATGGTGCCAGCGGCAAGTGTGCAGGAGCAAGTGTAGCAGGAAGAAGAAGAAGCGGCCACAGGAGCCGTGACTGCACACTTCTCCCCAGTGCTGATCCGCCTGGGCAGCTCTGGTGGAGCCAGTGTCATGGGGCAGCCCTGGTAGCCAATGAGGCTGGTGCTGAGGTTTTGGGGAGGGCCTGACCAGGTGTGTTCCCCAGGGGGAAGTGGTGTGGCTGGCAGAGGGCTGGGCTGGGGCACTCTGGCTGGCAGCTGAGAGCACCAGGGGAGTTTGGGTGGATGCAAAGTCATCTCTCCTGGCTGCAGCAGCACCCTGACATCCAAGGAGTTGTAGGCTGGGCCTGGCCCATGGTGGCCTTTGCCTCCCCCCATGGTAACCTCCAGGGGTTTACTCTGTAGTCCCCTGGCAGAGAGTATTGGGTTTACGTGGCAAGGTTTTGGTGGCAGGGAGCCTGTAAGGGTGGCTTCTCTGAGAAGATGCCAGAAGCTGCCCCCATGTCCAACAGAGCCAGTTCCAGCCAGCTCCAAGGCAGACTCGCTGCTGGCCAAGGCTGAGCTAGTCAGCAACGGTGGTAGTGCCTCTGTGGTAACATATTTAAGAAAGGGTAAGAACTGCTCTGCAACAGCAACCAGGAGAGAGAAGTGAGAATATGTGAGAGAAACAACTATAGAGACACCAAAATCAGTGAAGAAGGAGGAGGAGGAGATGCTCCAGGCACCAGAGCAGAGAGATGGTGCCTGTACAGCCCGTCGTAAAGACCATGGTGAGGCAGGTTGTCCCCCTGCAGCCCACGGAGGACCACGGTGGAGCAGATATCTACCTGCAGCCCATGGAGGACCCCATGTCACAGCAGGTGGGTATGCCTGAAGGAGAGGAGCCCACACTGGAGCAAGTCTTCTGGCAAGACTTGTGACCCCACAGGGGACGCGTGCTCGAGCAGTTCGTTCCTGAAGGACTGCAGTCCGTGGGAAGGACCCATGCTGGAGAAGTTCATGAAGGACTGTCTCCTGTGGGTAGGACCCCATGCTGGAGCAGGGTGAGGACGAAGGAGTGACAGAGACAATGCATAATAAACTGACAGCAAACCCTATTCCCCATCCTCCTGTGCCACTTGGGCAGAGGAGGTAGAGAAGTCAAGAGTGAAGTTGAGTCCAGGAAAAAGGGACGGGTAGGGGAAAGGTGTTTCTAGATTTGTTCTTGTTTCTCATTATCCTACTCTGATTTTGTTTGGCAATAAATTAAATTAATTTCCCCAAGTTGAGCCTGTTTTGCCCGTGATGGTAATTGCTGAGTAATCTCCCTGTCCTTATCTCGATACACGAGCCTTTTGTTGTATTTTCTCCCCCTTGTCTAGTTGAGGAGGGGGAGTGATAGAGTGACTTGGTGGGCACCTGGCAGCTACCCAAGGTCAACCCACCACACCACGCTTCTTGGGGACATGTTGCTTGAAGACAGAGTCCCCCAGAGCCTCAGTGTAGCTCTTTCACGGCTGTCAGGCATATTGGGAGGGTGACTATCCCCCATCCTTCCAGCTTTTACAGGGGCAGAAGTCAGGCATGGTGGCAGGAGTCAGGATTGTAGGAGGTCCAGACCCAAAACCATCCTGGACAGAGGGTGAGATCAGCACTGGAGCTGGAGAAGCTTTGCACCTGCTTGAAATGCCTCCCCATGTCAGGGGATTGGAGTTGTCACTTGGGTCCCCCCTCCCCTTTTCTCCTCAGTGAAACAGCTCATATCCCTCCATGTCTTCCTGGTTTGTGGCCTGCTCCAACTCCCATCCCACTCAGCAGCCCCACACTGGTCTGGCCCCAGGTTGTCATGCCCTTCTGCCAGGGACAGACACTGGCCACGGAGATGCAGAGATGTGGGAGAGGTTGGCAGAGGAATTGCTTCTCCTGACACGGCAGGGGAGATCAGCCAGTGTCCAGGAAAAGGGAGGCTTCCTGGCCACAATGTGGGGTCTCTGCAGTGTGGTGGGGGCTTTCCTGGGGGGACCTCATGATGGGGAAGGAGGGCGAGAGGCACAGGAGCCACATGCGGCTTGGGAGGTTCGTAGATGTTTAATGCTGTGGTTTTCCACAGCAAACCCCTGTCAGTGCTGATGCGTCAGGGATGGGACATGAGATGAGCAGGGAGAGCTGGTAGCGAGAGAGCTTGTTGCCGGGCGGGCAGTCAGGCCTCAAATGATGAATTCCTGGATCTCCCATGTGGCCTCTTCACCCTTCCTGCAATGGGGGGGAACTGTGAGCCGCATTCGGGGCTGGGGAGTTCATCCCTGCAGAGCTGCTGCTGCTGCAGCCCCTGGCCTGACCCATCTGCCCATAAATGTGAGAGCAGACCATGGGAGGAAGACCTCACCTGCGCTTCCACCACCAATACCCCCCAGCAGAGGCTGTGGCCACAAGGAGCAGCACTGCGATGGCGATGCCGACAGTTGGAGCTATGCTGTGGTTTTCTGGAACAGGGAGAGAAGAGAGCAGCCATGTGAGTGTGGCAGCACCAGGCAGGAGATGTCCCTTGTAGGGCCAGTGGCTGCTATCAGCACCCTGCGCCCCATCCCCATGGGTGGCACCTACCCCATGGGATGAGGAGGCTGCGGGTGCCCAGGCTGCGGTGGCGCACGCGGCAAGCGTAGCTGTGCCCGTCATGGG